ACTCCATCACCACCTATACTGCAACTTTTTGATTTTTATAGTTGCCCACCCCTCCCCCCCCAGTTCAGCATCATCTTGGTAATAGATTAAAAAAAGTAAAAGTTGGTAAATTCACTTTAAACATGCTGAAAGACTGCAGAACGTTATTTTAGATGTAATTAGAAGCGTTATTTCTGCCGAGAACAGACATGAAGTGAATTTTTCAAGAAAATGATTCAGATTATAACACAAACTCATATTTGAATCTGATTAGGCATTTATTTGCAACTATAAAAATCAACATGTTTTTAATAAATCATAAAAAAAATATTGCGCATGATTTTTGGAACAAGTCATCCGTTTAAGTTGCTGCAGACTTTGATGTTAAAAAATTTTTTTTTGATCTTTGAGGAAGAATTAAATATTTTCCTCAAGGGAACAGTCAAGTATTTAGTGTCAAAGCAACACATTCAGGTTCTCAGTCATAGGAAGAAGCTCCGCCCCTTTTTGGAGTGATAACCCCTGACTGGTGATGAAAGAAACTCCTGAAATGTTTCCTAATAAAACAGCTTAGTATAAGTAAAGTATAAGTAAATGATGACTTCCACAGTACTGACTGTATTTTATGTTATGATAAACCAAAGCTTTATGGATATACATACAGACAGAATAAAAAAAGAGTTTTAGCATTTAATTCTTTTCTGCAGCTAAACCGAAGCCACATATTTCTTATTTTATCGCGTCTTTTTGTTTATAGTAGTAAATACCGATAAGTTGTTTATTGCTAAACGGAACACCACCTTTGAAGGCACAATTCTACAAGTATTTTCAGTTTTACTCAGATCTTCACCCAAAAGAGGGCGGGGCCTGTCGTCATATTATTTTATTGTGATTCTTCAAAATAACTTACAGTAACACTCATATCTCTTCGTTTAAATCAACTTCCCCACTTCACAAAAAGTAGTTAAAGTCAAGGGGGGGAAATGGAGTTCACCTGAAGTCTAGGGGGCGGGGCTAACCCAAGGAAGTGGTCCAGGAGAGTCCTCTGGATGTTGATCTTGTAGTGTTGTGTGCACCACTAACCCCGGGTCCGGATGTCCCCCGCAGCTTCCCGGCGTCACTCCCGTTCAACCAGCGCTCTCTCCACAGCAGAACCCCATGGCCAGACAGGTGACCTGCATGACCGACCCACCCCCAACACCATCATCTCCACCCCCACAAACTCCCAGTGCCTCTTCGTTTCATTCCAGTTTCTTTGTTTGAAGGCGGTAACGCCCACCAGTCTGGTTCTGTTGTCGTGTTCATTAACGTGTCTGCAGGTAGAACCCATCGCTGCATTATTATACCCCCCCCCCCCCCCCCGCTCTGTATTTTAGTCTTTTATCAAACAGAAAAGGTAAGAAAAGGCTAAAGCATGTAGAAGGTATTTTCATCAGCGTTTTTCTTAGTTTATTAATTAATTTTATCGGCTGGTTTTATTATTTTTAGTTTGTTTTTTCAAACCTGTTGCTGATTTTCACTTAAAATGATTTTTTTTTTTTATGGTGATTTTATTCCAAGTGAACGATGTTTGTGTTTGAGCTCATGGTTTCTGTTCTGCTCTGGTATCCGTGGTTATACTGCATGTTACTGCTCACTTGTTGGGTCGGGCTTTATTTTCTGCTTTTGGTGGTCGGCGAAAATCACTTTTTACGTTTCTAATTGAAAACTTTTGTTTACATTTGTCCAAAGTGACACTGGTTTTGGTTTCAAGCGAAAGGATCATCTTTCTGTTTTCTTTTAGATCGGTACAGTGTGATCCACCAAGCGAGGATTTCTGCGTCCGTTAACGCCATGAGGGTTCTGAACACCGGCACTGAGGTGGAGGCGGCGGTGGCCGACGCTCTGGTGAGCAGCAAGAAGCACAAATCAAGAACCACATTTTTGACAAAATTGAAGACAAAATATTTTAATTGTTGTGCTTTTGAATACAAATTTAGGAAATCCTTGGATGTTTGAGTCGAAATTATAAAAGCTTTGTTGCTTTTAATTTAAATTTCAGGAGTTTTTAAAACCAATCAGATAATTGAAAACACTAAAATCTTGTTGAATAAATCAGCTCTCATGTTAAAGGGATATTTTATACATTTTTATGTGGGGGTCTGTGAATTATGAACTACAAATATCTTACCTGTTGTGGATAGCTCTTTGAACAATCCTAGTTTATTTATTTATTTTAATTTCACTGGATTAACAAGCAAATGTTGACTGGCTGTCTTTAAATGAATCCAAGCTCAACAATTATCTGCTGTTTGGCAGGTTTATAAGTTTTTACGCTGTTTCTGTTTCAAATTTTATGGTTATTCTAAGAGAAATATGTCATTCCTGCAGGAAGTGACCTCAGGCCACGCCACAAGTGCTAACGTTAGCTGCTGCTGCCAGTATTAGTCCTTGTAAATATTCTATGTAAATTAAAAACGTAGCATTCGTGTATATGAGGTGGTTAAAATCCATCGTTAGTCGTTTTAAGATGGCAGCGATCCACTTTGTTGTCGATTCCGTTCGGATTAGCCATTAGCTCATCCATCTGGTCAGAATTAAGTTTTTCTCCAGCCTGAGGTCGTTCTCAGAGCTGTCTGCGACGGGTAAGATATGAATTAACGTCTTTTTATCAGAAGGGTTTTTCCTCCTTTAAATGTTCGCTCTCTCCTCTTTCCTCTCGGTTTCTGTTGCTTTTCCAGCTCTTAGGAGACTCCCGGAACAAGGTAGTCTGATTTTACACCCAGTTTGTGTCTTTGTGACCATCACTCACTAATCCAGGAAACAGTTTTCTGCTTTGCTCATACCGGCTCGTTACGCTCCACCAACATTTCTTTCTTTATTTTTTAAATTCTTTTAGTTTTTGCTGTTTGTTGTTTGTCCATCTCCAACTGTTAATCTGAGTTGTTTTCATCAGTGAGATTAAAACCACTCTTCTGTTTGACAAGATTCCCCTCTGCATTGCATTTTGTAGTCAAGAACTTTGCTTAATTCTTGCACTGCTTGACTGGCTTTTATTTTGAAAATCAACTTTAAAAGGTTTTATTGTTTTAGCAGATGAATTGGCTAGCTTGAAACCTAAATCTAAAGGTAGCATTAAAATTTTGTAAAAACTGCATGTTTTAACCCATTCTTCAAGACGAGGCAGATGATTTTTGGTGAACTTTACCAGCTTCTTGGTTTGATCGCTCACAGAGGAAGCCGTTGAGGCGGCGGTACGAGTCTCCTGGAATGTATTCCGATGACGATGCTAACAGCGATGCTTCCAGCGCCTGCTCTGAGCGCTCGTATAGCTCGCGAAATGGAGGCATCCCTCATTACCTGCGTCAGACGGAGGACGTGGCCGAGGTCCTCAACCACTGCGCCAGCTCCAACTGGTCTGAGAGGAAGGAGGGCCTGCTGGGTCTCCAAAACCTCCTCAAGAGCCAAAGAATACTCAGGTGAAACTCAGAGGCTTTGCTTACGGATGTGAGCTAATGCTAATCCTTTTAGCCATGATTCTTTACATTTCTTCATTTTCACTGGTCCACTGTAGAGGGGGAGATCCACATATTTTGAACGTAAAGCCGAGCTCACCCTCAACCATAGTTTCCACTTTATGATCCTTTCAAAATAAACTACAATGGCTGAAAGAGGGTGGGCGGTATGTGTTGGGTCGAAGAAAATCTCAAGAGTTTAAAAACAAAAACTGTTCTGTTTGTTCAATAATGTTCAATGTTTGTGCTGATGTTCAATGTTTTATGTTATGAGTGCTTAGTGTATGTTTGGTTGATGTTTTTCTTGGTTCATGTCTTGGATGTTATTGCTGTTTTTCTTGTGCATTTTATTGTTGGATGTAACTGGGACCCTGTGTACATAATTTCGCTCCACCACATGTACCACATGAGGTGCGAATGACAATAAAGAAACTCTGACTCTGACTCTGATGAAAATGGATGAGACAAAATATTTAATGTCATTTTTTTTTTTTTTATTTAATCAATGTTTTTCAAATATTATTTTAGTAAATTTTAGACTGTTTCTTTTAGTTTTTGTTGACCTTGATGGAACAGTTCCCAAACAGCTTAAGTAGGTTTTCAGGTTTCAGAGCATCTCGTTAGGGGATGGGGGGGATTGTTCCTCAGTTTCCACTCTAATATCTGTTGAACTTGTGACCAGATGTACACTGATTAGTTGTTTGGTGGTTTTTGTTTTGTGCAGCCGAGTGGAATTGAAGAGACTCTGTGAGATCTTCACAAGGATGTTTGCAGATCCACACAGTAAGGTATAAATATTAACCTTTTGAACTAAAACAGACTTGTTTAAAGGTGAATGCATGGTATCCTAACGTTGTGACTTATTTGGAACTAATGGGGTGTCCTCTGTTGCATGGCCTGCCTGCCTTGGTTTGGATTTAACAACAGAGAGTAAGTTTTTAGATTTTAATCCACTACCTTCCTTCTCGAGCCATGATCGCAGTCTGACAGCTGTAAACCTGGTTTCAGGTGTTCAGTATGTTCCTGGAGACTCTCTTGGACTTCGTCACAGTCCACAAGGAGGACCTGCAGGACTGGCTGTTTGTCCTGCTCACCCAACTGCTGAAGAAAATGGGTGCAGATCTACTCGGCTCAGTCCAGGCCAAAGTCCAGAAGGCCCTGGATATCACCAGGTCTGCTATTATAGCTTGTATTTTTACATTGTTACATGATGGATGGCTGATATTACTTGGCAGACTAATGTGACTGGAACAAACAAGATAAAGAAAAGGGGTCTTTCAAATGAAACCTCAAGGAGATTAGCTTGAAATTTAAAGTCTTGTGGGATCTGTGTTATGCACAAGTACAACTGAGTGTCATCTGCATATAAAGGGTACTGTGGTCCAAATTGAAGCAGGTAAATAGAAAAAGTAAGGGACTGAGGACTCATCCTTGTGGTACACCACAAATCTGCAGGACTGTTCAGGAGGTTAAGTTAGTAAGGGAGATGACATAAGGTCTGTTCGAGTAAAATAAGTAAAACAAATCCAAAGAAACTGATATAAATTTTTATGTTTTAGGGAGTCATTTCCGTTTGACCAGCAGTTCAACATCCTGATGAGGTTTATTGTGGATCAAACTCAGACGCCAAACCTTAAGGTAAAAAAAGATTATTTTTTATTGAGGAATTTGTTTTGTTGGTCAGAGATTCTGACAGCTGAAACTTGACTCCACAGGTGAAAGTGGCCATTTTGAAGTACATAGAGACTTTGGCCCGGCAGATGGATCCAGCAGACTTTGTTAACTCCAGTGAGACTCGCCTCGCAGTATCTCGGATCATTACTTGGACCACAGAACCCAAAAGTTCTGATGTCAGGAAGGTAAGATGAGGCTGTGTGTGCTTAAACAGAAATCTAATTTAGAAAAATAAGAAATTTGCTCTTTTTTTCGTCACAAATTTTTCATTTATGTAACTAATTAATTATGTAGTTTTACATCTAATGTGTAATATTGGATGTAAACTTGGCACAAAATATAAGGACATTTGTGTTTGACTCAATATTTCTTAGTTGTGACGATGCTTCTTGGCAGTAAATCTACTGCTGGAAAGCCCGTTTATTTCCTCTTACATTTGTTAGTAAAATATATTTGTGGGTTGTGCAGCAGAGTTGAGTTTTTGAGTTGCGCTCTTGAAAAACTTGTCAACTCTTCTCTGCCGTACAGCTCATTCTGCTACTGTGGTGACACGATGCTGCGAGATGGATCTCATTCCTTCACCAGCATTTGATGTAACTCAGTCAATGTGGTTGTGTTCACTCTGGAACAAACGGCACATCCAAGCTGATCCCACAGCTGTTCAGTGGGGTTGAGGTCAGGACTGCAGCCTGGTCATTCCTTCCTCTCCACTCCCAAATTCTGGACGCAGTCTCTGATAAACGTCGCTCAGTGAGGGCCAGAGTTGGCATCTTGGAGGACGGAGTTCATTCCCAGACGAGAGATTTTGGTGCTCACAGGTACTGACTCAGGCGCCTGATGTCTGCACCTGGGGTACCTCAAAACAAGAGTTAATAGCAGCATGAGCTATTTATGAGCGTAACCCACGTACTGAACTCTTCTGCTCAACTCATAAATATATTTTCTTCACAAATATGGCTCCATTTCTTAGGGAATAAACAAGTTTTCCAACAGAATATTGCCAGGAAGAATTGTTACAGCAAAAAATAACCAACCAACCAAACACAAAATCCCTTTTGTTTTGTGCTTTGTTTAGTAAATAAGTGATTGATTTGCAAGAATCAAAACATTTTCCTGACCTTTTTTTTTTTCCAGTTAACATGACATGTACATCCACTTTTATTTTGTCTTTGCTGTTTGTGGAGCAGAAGTTGTTAAGTTTGATAAAAGGCTCTCGGTGTGAGTGGTCCATTATCTGCCCCACGCCTCATGTAGACATGTTCTCGCTCTGTGTGTTTTTCTACGACTGTGCCACCTGATGAAATCCTCAGCCAGTATCAAATCAGGGCCTGCAGGCAGGCTGTAAAGAAATGAACCGCCTGATTCATGTCATAACTCCCCTTCTGCCTTACAATGTGCCCCAGACTCTTCATAGCTGGGTGAGCGAGGAGCTAGCTGGCAGGTCCAGCTCTGCAGCCCTTCTGTCCACCGAGGGCAACCAGGAAGAAAGGTGTAAGCAGGTAGAGCCCGCTCCGATAGCCAATCACAGCACAAGCACGCAACGCTCGCCTGCCCGGTGCCTAACCGCCGACAGTCACTCAACATCTGTTCTGCAGCTGTAATAACCAACAAATGTAAAAAGACGTTTAACCCTAAAAATTATCATATTTACTTGAAGGGCTTGATTTTTATAAACCATTTTAGTTTCACCGCTCAACACTGATATGCTGTTTTTATACTGCTGTGTGCTTGTTTTACTCACACTAACAACCTCCAAACATGCATGTTGTTCTGTTTTCTACTAAATCTAAGCTCAACTCGAGGATTTCTTTGATTTGATTAAAAAAAAGTTATTGATCTCCAAACTCATGAGGATGAAGAGGGAGAAAAAGCTGCCAAAAACTCTGAAGGTCCTTCAGAAAGTCTGGAGAACTGTTGCTCAAGACCACTTTTAGAAATTACAGAAACAAGCTCTGGATCAGGACTTTAGCTTAGTGCTGAATAAGAGAAAGTATTCACATTGAAGAAAACAAGAAGTGAAACAAACAGGGAATAAATTTATTTATTTGTATGAACTAGGCCTGTCGCGTTAAACAAATCAATTAATCGCATGATAAATGAAAATTATCAACTTCATTTTCATTTATCGGCTATTGTTTCTTCTTGTCTCTCTCTTTCTACTGAAGACTCTGGATGACAAAAGGCTCAAGGCTCTTCACTGACCCCTCCCTTTCTCTTTTCTCTTTAAAATCCATTTTAACCGTTCAAAATCGCGTTTTTGGATCGTTAAAAGCAGATAAGCTACGAGCTAAGCTAACAGGCCGATCGTCATCTTATCGAAGCTCCAAAATTCACGAAAAAGTTGTTTTTTTCCTGCAAAAAGAAGCTATGAATTTGTTTACAGATTTTTTTTATTTTTATTAAAAGCTTTGTGTGAAAAGTGCTATGCTAAAAAGCTCAAATCACACCGAGCATCCGCCATTTTGAAAACTGAAGAGAGACAGCCCATGTCACGTCAAGGAGCCTCCCTCCCATTTTTCTTAAAGAGACACGCTGCTCCCTCCCTCACTATCCATCCTTCGGTTCAGTCTTATACTGCCACCCAGTGGTCAAAAAAGGTACTACACGCAAAACAAATTCACCAACATTTCTACTTAAATTTGACAATAACTACTAATTATTGTCAAATTTCATACAATATTATCGTTTATCGCAATAATTTCCGAGACAATTTATCGCCCAGCAAAATTTGTTTTTATGACAGGCCTAGTATGAACAGTAAACAAGTCAATAAGTAGATATCATAACCAACACATTTGTTTTGGTGTTTACTACAGTAAATTATTGATTTAATGACTTAGTTTTAATTGATTTATCATCAATGTTCTTCTTTTCTCCAACAACGAGTTAGTTCTTTCCCCTTTATTCTGAACTCACCTGCATGTTGCAACCAAGATCTCTCAACAAAGTCTTTGAAGGGTGGAGCTCTTCAGTTTTCTTCTGGATGCCGCTGTGAGCGCTCACCATTCATCATCTTTTTATTTTTACAGGATGATGTGGGGCCTTAACCCCCACTGAGCCAACGGACCGTTGGTTTCCTGTTTTCAGAGTTCTGAAAACTTGTGTTGGCAGCATTTCATCACAGTTCTCTTATTTTGAAATGTCAGCGAGAGGTTCCTCTGAAACCGTGCAGACTTACCTGATCTGTTTCTTCCTCTGGTGTTCCCTGACCGGTTCTGCTGCTCTGCCCGCAGGCGGCCCAGGTGGTTCTGATCTCGCTGTTCGAGCTGAACACGCCAGAGTTCACCATGCTGCTGGGAGCCCTGCCCAAAACCTTCCAAGACGGCGCCACCAAGCTGCTCCACAACCACCTGAAGAACTCCAGCAACACCAGCAGCAACGTGGTGAGTTACCAATCAGACATGGAGATCCAAGGCAGAGTCTCAGCTCAGCAGAACCATCAAAGACTCTGGTCTGACATGTAACGTTTGTTCCAGGGTTCTCCGAGTAACACCATGAGCCGGACGCCTTCACGCCACACTCCCAGCAGGACGAGCCCCCTCACCTCACCCACTAACTGTTCCCACGGAGGGCTTTCACCGAGGTAGAGCTCAGACCGCCCTACACCATCAAACCCAGTTCTGATCTGACTGCATGAGGTTCTGCTTCGGTTCTGATGTGTCAACTAACAACTAATCAGCCCCTCTGACAGGTTTCAGTCAAATATACGACCCCAAAACATGAAAACATCTGGACTTGGATTATGAGTCATTCTGTTGTGAGAATTTAAACCCAAAATATTTCAGGTTTGGTCCACCCAGTTCTAACTTTCAGGTTCCAACAAATTTAAAATTTCATACCTACTTTCCTTCCTGGAAAGCAAATCGTTCTCTATTTTCATGCCACGGTTTTGGATAAAGATCTTATGTGATCTATTGGCACTCAGAGTGTGATGAGGATGATTCTCATCTACCATATTTTAGCTCAAGATCTATAAAATCGACAGAGCGATTTTTTCTTTTTCATTTACTAAAAGGGAAGAACTGTGATGGACGTTTAGACTTGGGCTCACTCCAAATGTTTATCAGTTTTAAATGTACAATTATTGATTACTTTCTACAAGTTTCATTAAAAACCGTTCACTGGTTCATGAGACATTTTGCTAACAGACGAATGAACATCCAGACACAGACACATGACTGTCTGCCCTTCATGGCAGCTGGTGATTCAAAAAGAGTCAGAGATGTTCTCCCGTTCTCAGAGAAGTTTTCCCGTTTTGTAATGTTTCCACTCCTTCTCCCAGTACTTCAAAAGAGGCTCTGACGTTGAGGAAGACCAGGCGCTGAAGAGTTTCAGGTGTTTTTTTTTTTTAATTCAAATTTTTCTGACCATCTTTGCTTTTTCACAGAATCCCGTTAGACTGGACATAAAGTCTTACGTCTGCTTCTCAGTTTTATGAGTTGTCTTTTAAAAGTGAGGCAACAGAGGCTTAAAGTCAACCTGCCACTGAGTCAGTATCTGAGGCAGTCACAGAGCTGAGTTTGTGAGTACGCAGAGCCTGTAGTGCTCAGATTAGGCCCACATCATGGCGGCAACAACCGGAGGCTGCTTGAGGAGCCCGTCTTTACAAACATCACAGAATAATGTAAAAAAAAAAAGTCAGCCGTTCAAAATTACAGCCTTTGGACCAAAAGATCACGATCACCGTCTGACATTGTTTGTCTGAGAGGACTGAACTATTCCAGTTCTACTGTTCTTTGGTGTTAGAAAGAACTAAACTGTCCCAGCTCTACTGTTCTTTGGTGTCAGAAAGAACTAAACTATCCCA